GCCGGTAGCCTGAACGGAAACGTCTAGTGCCTTTTAGCCACTCCCACGCCCCTTTCCTAGAGCCATCTTGACCGTTGATCGGCATTAGCGTGTTGGATCAAGCTTGCGTGTGCACGAGTGGGCCCGGCATCTGTGGCAATATTTTCTGGGGTCAACAGATTACAAATAACCCCACCAAAAATAACTTTACCTTCTTCCCACACCTCACCCCTACCCATTTCCTTTGAAGCCCAAAACACCGGCCAACCAGCACCTTGGCCACCGGACCAACATACCACCTTGAAGCACTCATTGCCCTCTTCACAACCCACCCAACCACCCGACCTCAACTCAGGCAAATTTGACCGGAAATTTGAGCCAAAATCGGATGAACATGCACCAAAAACTGGTCAAAAAATCAACTTCTGGCGACACCCATATCATACCGACCCCACATGTCGATTAGGCTCTTTATTATGCACCTACAGATGTCCTCATAACATCAAATAAGGCTGAAAATCCAAAGATGCAGAATTTTTTATAAACAGCACAGTCGGACACTTCAAGCATGAATTCCGGCGCCAAGGCGATGCAATCTACGGTCGCGGATCACCACCTCTAGCATCGCCTCATCATGGCGCATCCAATGCACATATGGTCTTCCCCAATTTCGAGCTAACAAGGATGAATTTAACAAGGCAAATCACGAACAGTTTGAGTCCGTAGAGCCCATTTCAATTGAGTATTTTGGCTTGCAATTCCGACCAAATATGTTGGCATGAAGGTTGGATGTTGGGTGGTATGTGTAGAGGGGAGTGAGGGCTTTCCGACGGTTTGGGCAGTGGTTGGTCGGAGTTTTTCGGCTTCAAAGGTGGCGGCCCCAATTGGATTTTAGGGCTTGGTGATGGTTTTTTCAAATTTAGACCAATTTGCACTTTTTAAAACGTTTAGGAGTAAGATCGCAATTTGTTCTTTATTTTTCTTTTCTTTTTTGGTTTTATTTATGTAGGAGGGTATATTAATCATTTTACGTTAAAAATTGGTAAAAATGATGTTTTACGCAATAAAACGTTGAAATAAGGGTGAAAATGTAAAAAATTGAAACGTAGAGACATTTCGCACAAAACATGCCAAACGTAGGGACGTTTTGTGCGATTAAGCCTATTTTAAAATCAATCTAAATAACAGTGTTTGACATTAAAAATAAGCTCAATGTAGGACAATAGTTAATTTAATTGAACTTATCATGTATGGCTAAATAAACTGATTTTAAAAGACTAACTAGACTATATAACACTACCTTTCTTAAAATTAGTCAGAGTTAAATGTGCATTACACGTTATTCTAAAATATTTTATAAGTGTTATAAAAGTAATATTTGATACGAGGATTTGATGAATCTCAAATAAATTAAAGAAAATAAAATTTAGGGTAGGGTGTGTTTGATGGATATTATGGAAGAAAAATGTATTTTAAATAGTAACATGTTGGAAGTATGTGGTTAAAAAGTAAGAAAAAATTATTCTTGTAATGGAAAATATTATTTTATTGAAAAATGTATGGTTGAAAATGAGTTTTAAAAGAATGTGTGTCAAACATGAGCTTAAAAGAAAAAAATTGTACTCTTAAAACTCAACTTATATGATTCAAAATTTTGGTGATGATGAAATACTACAAATAAACAATATTTTTATACTATATTTGGTA